TTCACCATTGCAACATATCCTATTAGATTGGAATATATTTTAGTCACATATTTCACCCTTACACTTACAAGTCATCATGTACTCAGAAATTTTATTTTATTCCCTCTTCTTAACATTCAAGTCAAATTAATTTTAAACTAGTCATGATCTTTAAACAATAACCAAGTGAACGTGTACCTTTACCTATCCGATTACAACGATATAAAATAATTTTTATTTTTAACTCTATAAAAATCTTTTTTTAGCCACTTCACTTGGTTCCATTTCAAGATCAACAACATTTATTATTAACGCTTTTATTTTTTAACAATACTGGATTCAATAATTTTCTACACGGTTTTTTTGTTTTCTTATTGGACTTTAATTTGATTTACGTTTCTTTTTCCTGAACTTCGTCTTTGGCTATAACTTACAGTGGTGTACTTATCAATAATTTAACTTAAACATAGAAACAAATGCACTCAAACAACACTACTTCAATATCCACTATATACTATTTAACTTCCTTGTCAACTTCAACAGTACTTTTGAGCAATTTGATGACAAGAAGCTTAAACAACCGTCACTGTTATCCAATTACAAGGATATAAAACAATTGTTAATTTAATACGTTTGTTATCACTAAACTTACCGATTCAATAATTTACCTTCCTTTTTAAAAATATAATTTTTTCTAACCAACTTTACTGGAGTTGAATTGAAGCTAATTGATATGTTTTTTTACCTACTGATCTCTCTAACCCGCTTATTTATTTTGATTATTGCTCACGTCCGTTTACCGCTTTGGTTTTTTTTTTTTTTTTTTTTCTTTTTTCCATAGGATTTTTTATTTCATTTTTTTTATTTCATTTTTTTTAACTTCATTTTCAGTTTATTTAGTCGCCCTATATTTTTCTATGAAATATATATAGGCTAGGGACCAGTACTGAAAATGGTAGATAGTTATTATGGAGTTATCATTTTACAAGGGTTTCTTCGTTATACTAAACCTTTCTTTGTTGGGTCATTTAATAAAAGACTTAAAACTTGATCTATTTTAAACTCTTCTTATTATTATAATATTTAAGTAGAACGCTCGTTACTGGTTATCTAATACACTTAGATAATTATTATAATAATAAAAAGTGATTAATAATAACTATGACGAAAGATTATAATAAACCATTTATTCTGTATTTAAACAAATAGCATAGCTTATTCCTTAGATCCCCCTTGATTAGATTAAAATAAAAGACTAATCCAAAATCAATTAGGATCTGAAGACAGATATTCAGAAACTTTAACTAATTCTGTTACGCTTTTCGTGGATTATTAATATTACAGTCTAAAGTCTTTATAAAATAATCTTTATTAATCTAAAAGAATTACTAAGTTTAATAATTATATTCGATAAAAAAAAATTTAAAGATTAGTGTAACGAGCTTCACAGTTTAAACAACCATTTAATTAAAAAATAAATAGCATAAAACCTTTAGCAATTTTGTTATGCTTTTCGTGGATTATAAATATTATAGTCTAAAGTCGTTATAAAATAATCTCTATTAATTAAAAAGAATTACTAAGTTTAATACCTAAAGTCGTTATAAAATAATCTAAAGATTATTGTGTAACGACTTTTAGGTTTATATACTAAAACTAATTAATTAAAAACAAATATCGTAAAACCTTTAACAATTTAATGCTGACTTGGCCGAGTGGTCTAAGGCGCTGGTCTCAAGTTCCAGTTCGAAAGAGCGTGAGTTCGAACCTCACAGTCAGCACTTTTCTTTCTCCACTTCACGGAAAATTAGTTTTATACTCTCATTCCTTTTGTTCCTCATAACAAACAAGCTGATGGTTGTGTAACAAAGAAGCCCTCAAAAGGAATACAATTACTTAAGTTTATTTTTGCAATCGCAAGGGGCAACATGAAGAAATTAAGCAACAACAATTTTAAAAAAGAATTACTGAGAAATTACCATTTTTCAAGTCTTAAATCAATTTTTACATATAACTTTTTATTCCTTTTAGTAATTTTCTTTTTTTTCTTTATTGTAATTAGATTTTGTATTTTTGTGTAACAGCAGGTACTGCTGATTCATTTAGACAGAGTATGATCGTTTAAAGGTAAAAATAAAATCTATAAAAAAGGAAGCTTTGAAAAGATAGAAAAAAATACGTTACTCTCAATTTTTATTAAATTCCTTTTCTTTGGCAATTTTTAATAAAGAAATTTTTGCTTCCACGCCTAATTCGTCAACCATTCTTTTAAAATAGGCATCCTCAGTACAACTCTCTTTCATTAACATTTGATAAGGTGAACCAAATTCTACAACTCTTCCATTATTTAAAACCATTATCTTATCAAAATCAATTACTGTTTTTTAAAAAGAGGAAATAGAATTTTTTTTAGGTGAAGATAAAATTATATAAAATACCAGTATTTAATCTATGAGCTATAGTCACAACAGTTGAATCAGCAAAGAGCCCCGTTTTTGACCGTATTGCATTTTGTACCAATGAATCAGTATTTAAATCCTTAATTAATATTTGTTTAGTAATCATTTTGCAATATCTGTTGTTTCTTACAATACTAGATGTTGCTTCATCCCTACACAGAAAAAAAAATAAAAATATTAAAACTTTTTAATCTTCAATCATTTCAATATAGTATACATAACAATTAATCTGGTGTTTCGTAAAATGGCTCTAGCTAAACACATCAGCTGTCTTTCTCCAACTGACCAATTACCTATTAAAAGAAAAAAATGTTTAATTTCATCCCTATTTAGTAATTCACCTCCTCCTTCTGACACTGGACTTTCCAGTTTTAATGGCATTGACTCTACCAACTTCTTTAATTCAACTGCTTCCAAAACCTTCCTTAAAAAAAATAAACGTTTTAATAATTATAGTAATAATAATAAAACCATAATTCTTCACCAGAGTAATGTTGAAAGGGATCAATGTTAAACCTTAAGGTCCCTTTAAAGCAAAAAGGCTCTTGCGGTATGATTGATATTCTCGATCTCAAGTCCATTAAACTAATGTGTAAGGTATTTATGCCGTCAATAACAACATTACCATTACTTGGTTCTACTAATCTAAAGAGAGCTTGTAGCAAGCTACTTTTTCCAGAACCAGTACGCCCAACGATACCAATTTTTTGTCCAGCCTCAAATTTCACCGAAATGTTACTTAAAACCTCTTTGGTTGATCCAGGATAAATTAAAGAAAGAGAATTGAAATTGACTTCTCCTTTGCTGGGCCAATCATCTGGCAATGCATCGTTAGTTACATCTGTGGCTTCTGGAATTAAATTTGTGTATTCTAAAATTCTTTCCACACAAACCATTTGGTTTTCTACCTCTGCAGACTATACAAAATATTTTTAGAATTAAAATAAAAAATAAAATTTTATACCTGTCTAGTAGCCCTGCATATAAGCCGTTGATTAAAAACATAAATAAATAAACAGGTAACATACCATTGCAGATAACCCAGCATCTGTAAAGTATAAGTTATAACTAATCCAATTGAAGCAGCTTCTAATCCAGATAATTGCATTAAAATTATACATAATGCCATAACTGCAAGCAAGAATATGGAAACAATCATATCTAATTCCACCACACCGTAATAAATTTTCTTTAATGATTTAAAAAGTACCTAGACGAATTCCAAGCCATCTGCCAGCGGCAATAAACGCAAAAAAAATTCTTGTATTTTGATTTTGCAAACTATTAAAATTTGCCAGACTTCGATCTTCTGCTCCGAATGCTCGTAACGTTGGTAATCCTTCTAAGGTGACAGGTATTTGTGAATATACTGGTGATCTGAAAAAAAATTAAATACTAAACGTTAATATAATTTCACCTGGTAATGCTATCCAGTCGTTTTATTTGTCTTGAAGATGAAACGTAGTATTTTCGAATTAAAAAGAAGAAATAACCACAGAAAGGCAAAAGAATCACAACGTATGGTAAATAGATTAGACAAATAGCGATCGCACCCAGTATCTGAAAAACACATTGCACAAAATCAAAGAAGGTAGTAGGTAGCATTTCTAATAATTGTTAATTTCTTAAATAAATATTTTAAATATTTACCATCGGCTGTGCTTAAATCCTTAGAAAATCGGCTAGAAAAAGAAAAAATTATTTAGTAATGTTTTGAAAAAAAGGTTTTAAGTTACTTTAATATTCTGCCTAACGGATGAACCTCAAAAAAATTTAAAGGAGATCTAATAACAGAATTCAGCATTTTTAAAAACAATTCCTTTGAGCATTTAATACAAACGAAATACCTAAAATATTCAATGTTGATTTGTTAAAAGTAGAATACCAAAAAATCGAACGAAGCAAACATACAGTCAGTGTAAAAACTACTAAAGCACTATACACTGATGCATTTAAAACACCTTGCCTTTTCTGATCAGGAATGGAAAAATCTGCCCATAACGATAGCCAGTAGTCAATTAGCATAGCTGAAATCTGACCGATTAGCAAAACCACGAGCAAGATTACTGCCTGCGTGTATGATACTCCATTGGAGAAGTAATTCAGGTAAGTTTTTGTGGGCACCGAACCAACCGCTTTTTCTTCCATCTTTAATTCGGTTTTAATGTCTCCTTTTTCGAAGTCGCTAAAACCTTTTTCGACATCGTTCGCTGACGGAATTTGTAAAGAGTTGGTACCATTTAATTCCAAAACTTGGGTGACTTCGCTTTCAACCTCCTCAGAATAAAAAAACTTTTCCATTGCATTTATAAATTCCACATTTTGAGTATTGTTTTTTATAGCTTCGTTGAAAGTTCCAAAATTATTTATTTTTCCGTTTATCAATACAAGCACCTCATTACATGACTTTATAAATTGAAGCTGATGCGAAAAAAGAATTACAGCTGCTGGAAATTTTCTATACTCTCCATACGACTTAGATGAGAGCAACAGATTTTTGATAAGATTCTCAAAAAGACCTCTTCCAACTTTAGCATCAACGGCTGACAATGGATCATCTAGAACTAAACATAAAATAGTCAGGTAATTGTTTAATAAGAGTGATAGTACTATATAGGTCAGCGTCATAATATACTGCTCTAGCTAAAGCCAATCTAGCCTTTTGTCCACCACTAAGCATAACTAAGCAATTCTAAAAATTCGGTTTAAAAACATTTTTCATACCACCACGTTCTCCAATTAATGTGTTTATACCATTTGGAAAGGCTTCAATATCGCTTCGTAATTCACAGGCATTAATTACAGTGTCAAACCATTCTTGATTAAATTCTGAAGAAAATAAAATATTTTCCTTAATTGTTCCAGATATGATCCTAATTATTTACTAGTTAAAAAATATTGCCAGTTTTTTTACAAACCATGGTATTTGAGAGCAATATGCAATCTTCAATGGCGTCGGTTTGGAGCCATCGGCAAGGATGGCTTCACGTATACCAAAAGAACCAGAAACAAGATTCATTTCTCCCATAATTGCACTGGCTAACGCAGATTTTCCACATCCTAGTAGAAAAATTTTAAAGAAATGTACAAAAATGTTTATTCTACCAACAGGACCACAAACACCTAAAGATATGCCTTTTCGAATTTGAAGATTAATGCCACTTAAAATTAATTTTGAGTCAGAAAGCTGTTCGTTATTATCTGGGTCGCTCCAATCAAAACTTGCATTTTTCATATACATCACTACATCACTGTTGACAAATTCATCAGATTTATCAGCTTGTACACCAGATGGTAAGGAATGTTTCTTTAAACTTATCTCTCCCAGAAGTAAAAACTCCTGCAATCTTGCAGCGGATATCAAAGCTTCACTACCCAGCTGAATAGCCATAGCAAAGAATTTAGTTAGAGTTAATCGCAAGTTAGCAATAATTGTAATCGTTCCAAAAACGATTGAAGCATTAAATACACCACCCATAAAATAAAAAGCAAGTAAAGGGAAAGCTGCAATTAAAGCAGTTGCTGTGAAAAACAGTGAATCGTTTATCGCCTTCCAAAAAAAAAAAGTGAGAAATGCATTTTGGAAATATTGCATACCTTAATTATTGATGATTTTTTAATGTTTTTTAATTCGTCAACTCTTTCTTTTTCAACTTGCGCAGCAAATGCCTTCTAAAATAACTTGTGCATAAAAGATAGGTTTAAAACAATAAAACTTACTTCCCACGCATACAGTTTGACGACTAAAATACCAGCAAACATATCACTAGTAGTCCTCACTCGCTCGTCTCTAAATTTCACGGTTTTTCCTCTTTACCCCAAATTTTATATTGAGTAATGTAAAAAAAAATTACCTTAGTTTTCCAAATTTTTTCCCAAAAATTGATTGTAAAATCATGAAAAAAATTAATCCAAACAAAACAAAGAAACTTGCAAAACCAATAAGAGAATAAACGAAAATTAATGAAGCGATAATTTCAATAGGAACAGTAAACAGATAAGGAAGGAAAACGGCTGCGTCTTCAAATCTTTGAATGTCATTAGATATTAAATTTACAATCTTTCCTGTGGAGGATGCATGACTAATTGATGATTCCTGTTAAGGGCAAATAGCTTCAATAAAATATACCTGGCGCTTAGTCTCAACATTTTCTGGTAGACTAAAGAGCAAAACCCAACTCTTAGTCTAATACCCATACGGAGACCAAAAAACATACAAGTATGTTGTGCCAAACTGTTAAAAAAAATGTTGAATGCAAAAAAAAAAAGTTGCATTTTTACCTTGACATAATTACAGAAAAGAGCATTAAAATTCCCCATTT